GCACAATGTACATCATTAGTTGATTGATCTCACTAGTTCAGGATCATAGTTTCCCTTAGGATTAGTTGCTGCTAGAATAGAACAACGAGTGTTTAACTTGCACACAAGGCCAGCCTGTAATAATAATAATAATAATTAATAAATAAATAATAACAATAACAATAATAATAACAAACAAGTCCATTCAGGATTGTCTATATTCATCATGCATAATTGGAATGAAAGAGGTCTGAAATCATCACATCATACCTTTGCAACACTAATAGTTTGTTGCTCCATTGCTTCATGTATACAGGATCTGTCCCTATCATTAATACTATTAAACTCATCTGTAGTACAAGAAATAGGAGAAGGGAGAACAAAAAGAAGCAAGAGAAAGAAACTGAAAATTTGCTTGTTTGTTAACATCATGCTTACACATACCTATGCAACACAGTCCACCATCAGCTAATACTAAAGCACCAGCTTCTAACTGCCATTCACTCCCATCCTATTTATATATGATCACAGTGTTAAAAGGATATAGTCATGTACATATACATGCAGTTCATAGTGTGTAGGGATTTGGAGTCCCATATCAAACATAAACATAAATTTACATTTTTGAATTTTTTGGAAATTGGTAGTTTGGTACAAAATTTTTTAATGAAACAATTCATAAACCATCACAACAAATTTAGAGCCAAAAGGCTATGCATGAATATTTCGCTCATCAGAGGAAAGGATATTGTTTTGCCTTCTTGGAGAAAATTTTTAAAATTCTTTTAAAAAGCTAAGTCGTCCAGATTTTTTGATTATCGTACAATTTCTAATATACATGTATTATGTTTTATAACAGGTTTGAGCTGATTCTAATCAAAGCCAGATACCTAAGAATTCTCACAGAAGTTGGTTAAAGACGTACAAAAATTATTATTAATTATTACCTTAACAGCAGCAACAGTGAGTCCAGCACTAGTAGTACCCACTCCAGTAGTTAATACAGAACGAGGACTGAGACTTGAAGCAAACTTGAGAAACTGAGATTTTCCAGTGCCTAAAGAAACAAGACAAAACACAGTTCACTAAGTGTAAGGAAGACTGACTACTGAAATAAGAAACAAGATGGCAACAGTTGAAGAAATAGTATCAGGAATCTTTCATACTATTATTAGGGACATCAATATGCAATAGAAAATGTAACAAAAATTGGGGGCAATTTTGAAGGTAATTTTTGCAAAAAAACCAAGGGCATTTTCAAAAATTGGGCTTTAATAATGCACATAACTCAAAAATTTACAGTAAAATCAGCTCAAACACACAACATAATGACATCAATAGGTTTTTTAAATGTAATAAAAACTGGAGGTAACTTCAGAGCCTTTTTTTTGCAAAAAACAATGGGCTATAGCCTTGGGTATTTTTCAAAATTTGGCCAGTTTTTAAAAATGCTCATAACTCAAAAAATTTAAGTCGGAATCAGTTCAAACTTTCTATGCAGCATAAGGACATCAATATGTATCAGAAAATGTAATAAAAACTGGGGATAATTTCAGAGCCATTTTTTGCAAAAAACCATGGACTACAGCCTTGGGTATTTTTCAAAATTCAGCCAATTTTTATAAATGCTCATAACTCAAACAATTTAAGTTGGAATCAGTTTAAACTTTCTATGCAGCATAATGACATCAATGCATGTAAATATTAGAAATTTAATATTGTTTTGTGCTTTCTTCTAAAAGGCAATCAACAAATTTGTTCTTAAAAATTGCTAAGTGTTTCGTCACCCCATTTCTAAAGCATGTTTTCTTATTCCAGCTCTTTGTTCATCACTGTAACCATGACAGACATACGTATATGTACAATAGTACATGTAGTTAAATCAAGTACATTTTATTTCAGTTTTGATTTGAATCAGACTATTGACCTTTTTACTGAAGAAGGAACTCATTCAGATAATGGGCCATTAGCATGGACAATAACAATAGATTTCTTCAAGTACATGTAGTGTACATGTACTTGAGCAGTGCCATGATAATTAATGTGTGGCTTTGGGAAGAGTTAATTAAATGGGGGTGCAGTGTGTTCATTAGTTAATTTATTTTTGCAAATTTATTTTCGTAATAAATTATATAAAGAAATATGTGAAATCCACAAAAATTGCACAGCTTGAAACAAACCACTCATTCGGTATTTTGTTAGGTGCTTTACTATACACAAATACATGTAGCATGGAAGACATCATAATATACATTATACATCAAAGATGATCAAACGACATGAACATATACAATTCCCAGTATATTATACCTGGATCTCCTACTAGTAGTAAGTGACAGTCACCTCTAACACGAGTGCCAGACTCATCAACATACTACAATAAATGAATTTATACATTACTTCACAATTTACAATTACTACATGTATAGTATGCACTGTAAATGCTACATTATAATACAGACTTCATGAAATACAGACAGTAAAAGTACTTAATACAAGTGCACATGTATATATGCACTCAACAGTCAAGGCTTTGCCATACACATGTGTATTGGTATTATAATACATGTAAGTATCACAGTAATTTTCTAATCATACAAAATTCAAAATAAGCAAAATAATTAAATTAAGGATAGAAATATTATGTACATACATGTAAATAGCAAAACTAAGGTACATGTATAAATATTAAACTGACCTGGACCCCTCCAATGAGAGCTAAGCATATACAAAGCTTAACTACATATAGTCCAAATACTTGAGGACAGAAACTAGCAATAATTACGTTACGACCTTCCAATGGATTGTCCTTATAACTACACCAAAAGGCATCAAAAAACGACTTCTAAAAATTAATAAAATTATTCATGATACAATAAAATATAAGAATGAAAACAATACCATTTCATCAGTGATGTCATTCTTCTCTTGACTAGATGTCTTCAG